GTCCCTAATCCTGAGGACAAACTTTGCTGGGAGAGGGAACGTCATCCTCTAGAATTACTTCCAACTTCATGGGGACAACGTTCTTTCTAGGGGATCCTTTGAAAGTAAAATGATGGTTAAATTTCAAGATTAATGTCTGGTAAGATTGCAAATAGTCTCTGAGTATTTGGTGGAGGTCTGGTCAGAATGTTGTAAAAGATGTGCACCATTTCAACTAACCAAGTTGGAACTGTCTTGTGCAGTTTGTTGTTAACTAAACACCTTCCCGCAGCACCTCCCCTTTTGTTTAAGTAAAAGAGTTCTAAACCTACTACAAAATTATATACAGTAAGAACAAATATTCTATTTTAACTAGCTTAAGTCTTGTATAATAAATAACTTGACCAAGTCATGAGAGAAATGTAACTACATTTATCTAGTCTTCAACCCCATCAAAGATCCAAGAAGGGAAATAATGTTACGTGAGTGATTAGGTAAGACCAAAACAGGTCTTGTAGTAGCACTAACAGTATCATGACGTCATATCAACCAGGTGGAGTTGTTATGGGGCCCCATCTTCTTCCTGGAAACTTCAAAGATTACTGCAGGAAAATTCATTGTTCATTGTGGAAAACTTATACATTAATTATATAGACATTTACAGACATGTATTTTCAATGAAAGGGATGATAGATATGAAGGAAAGCAAAGATGTTTTCTAAATTCTTTTTATCTTCTGTCCCATATCATGGCTCCTGATATGAGACAGAAACTCTGGGTTTTTCTCTTAAGAACGGGCTTGGAATTAAAGAGGGACTGAGCCAGAGTTTGACTCCAAAACCAGCTCTATATACTTATGAATATAAATATACAAAGGTATATTTTTTTGAACTTTTTTTAATTTACGGAACATATTTTATTTTCTTGTTGATCCTTATTGGGTAGTAATGTTTTCCATCTGTCAGTATTCAAGCATTCAGGGTCCCTTGAATTTTTTGAAGATGAGTGTTTCCTGCATAGATAAGGACAGAACCCTGCCCCCATCCTATGTCTTTCTTACTACCTGTATGATTATCATCATTGTGGATGAGCTGTCATGTCTGCTTTCCAAGAGGTTTCTCCTCTTCAAACCAAACCTTTTTTAATTTTGATGGTATCCACAATTTTTCTTCTCCTGTGGAAACAAGAGCAAAACCCCTTCCCCAATGCAGCACATCTCCTGGCTTCCATTGTGAGGTCAGCACATTCTTGAAATAAACCGGTTGATTTAGTTCAGCAGATTTTTCCATTCTCCAATGTCTTTCTGAGGTTCTTTCTCATTAGCGTCACAAGGCTAATAAGACATTATATAATCTATTTTGGGGGCATTTTCCATCCCTTTCTGTTTGTTTAACATATCCTTCATAATTCAATTTGATCTTTCTGTAACTGCTTGACCTGTAGGATTGTGTGGTATACCTGTAACATGCTTAATATTATAATAAGCAAAAAACATTTTATTTTCCTAGAGATAAAAGCTGGACCATTATCTGTCTTTATTTGTGCAGGTATACCCACAATGGCCATAAATTCTAATAAATGTGTGATTACTGAATCAGCTTTTTCTGAGCTTAAAGCAGTTGGCCACTGAAAATTTGAATAAGTATCAATGGTGTGATGTACATATTTTAATTTTCCAAATTCTGAAAAGTGGAACACATCCATCTGCCAGATTTCATTCCTTTGAGTATCCTTCAGGTTACTCCCTGCAGGTAGCAGTGTTTGGTTATATAAAGAGCAAGTAGGGCATCTCTTTATAATCTCATTAGCTTGTTGCCATGTAATAGAAAACTCTTTTTTTATGAAATTCTGAGGCATGCAACATGCTTCCAATCAATAATTGATCAATTTCTTCATTACCTTGTGCTAGAGGACCTGGCAGACCCGTATGGGATCAGATATGTGTTATGCACATTGGAAAAAGCCTACTCCTGATTATGTCTTGCACCTGGATAAACAATGAAGTCAATTCTGTATCATCTGGTATAAAGTCAGCGGTTTCAAAATGCAAAATAACTCTTTCTGCATATTGTGAATCAGTAACTATATTAAGAGGTTCTTTAAAATCCCTTAGCACCATAAGAATGGCATATAATTCTGCCTTCTGGACAGAATTATAAGGACTTTGCTCCACCTTATTCAATTCATCTGATTTGTAAACTGTCTTCCCTGATTTATTAGCATCAGTATAAATGTATGGGTTCCAGTTATTGGAGCATCACATACAATATGGGGAAGAATCCAAGAAGTCCTCTTTAAAAGGTTAAGTCTATCTTTTTGGGATAGTTGCTATTAATTTCTCCCAAAAGAATTAGCACAAGCCCTTTGCCATGGTTCATTGTCTTCCCATAACTTTTTACTTCATCAGTAGTGAAAAGCACTGTAATTTCTGTTGGGTCTATACCTGCTAGTTGACAAAGTCTCAGTTTACCTTTTATAATTAATTCAGAGACCTCTTCCACATAATTTTTTAATTTTTTACTTGGTTTGTGTGGTAAAAAAAAAAGATCCATTAGAAAATAATAATCTTCCCTCTGCATTAAAGTTCCTGAAGGAGAAATTCTGGAAGGAAATATGACTAGAATACAACTAAGATTTGGATTCACCCTATCCACATTTGCCTCCTGTAATTTTCCCTCAAACATTGTCAGTTCCTTTTCTCCTTCAGCTGTTAATTCTCTAGGACTATCCAAATCTTTATCACCATCTAAGATTTAGTTTAAATGAATTATTAAATCAGGTGTTATCCCAACAGCCAGTCATAGACTGGAAATGTCCCCTAACAATCTTTGAAAGTGATTAACAGTCTGTAACTGGTCTCTCCCAATTTGTGCCTTTTGTGTTCTCATTTTCTGTAAGTCTATTCTGTAACCTAGGTAATTAACAGAATCTCTTCTTTGAATCTTTTTTGGGAGCAATTTGTAATCCCCATTTATGCAAGACTTTCTTTACTTCTTCAAACATCCTTTCTAAAGTATCTATATTTTAATCAGATAACAAAATGTCATCCATGTAATGGTAGATTATAGACTTAGGAAATTGCTTATGAATTATTTCCAATGGCTGGCTGACAAAGTATGGCACAGGTTGGGGCTATTGAACATTCCTTGTGAGAAGATAGTCCATTGATACCTCCTAGTAGGCTGAGAATTATTATAAGTAGGCACTGTGAAGGCAAACTTTTCTCTATCCTTTTCTTGTAAAGGTTATGTGAAGATACAATCTTTAAATCAATAACTATGAGAGGCCATCCCTTTGGTAACAGAGAAGGCAGAGGAATTCCAGAGTGTAGAGGGACCATGGATTGAGTAACCTTGTTGATAGCCCTTAGATCTATCACCATTCTCCATTTTCCAGATTTCTTTTTAACAACAAATACAGGAGAATTCCTAGGGCTAGTAGATTCTTCTATATGTCGAGCATCTAATTTCTCTTGTACCAGCTGTTCTAAAGCCTGCAACTTTTCCTCAGCTAGAGGCCACTGCTTAACCTATATTGGTTTCTCAGTTAACTATTTTAAAGGTAGGGCTGATGGTACCTCTGAATGTTTATCAATTGCTTTGTGTTCTTGTGCAGCCCGAATGGCTGGTGTCTGTCGTCCATAATATCTTCCAATATTTTCCTCAGAAACATAAGTTTTGGGGGCTGCAGGAATGTTAATCTGGGTATTCCATTGTTGCAATAGGTCACAACCCCACAAATCCACTGCAATATTGGTTATATATGGCCTTAGTCTTCCTATTTGCCCTTTAGGCTCTATGCATTCAACCCCTCTTGTGCTTTGTTCTACCCTAGGTAGTGTTCCAATTCCCAGGAACTGAACATCTACCTCTTGAAGAGGCCAATTCAGATTCCAAGATTCTTACATCTTCACCCGTGTCTAATAAGCATTCAATAAAAATGCCATTTATACAAACTCTTAGCTTTGGTCTTTGATTATTAGTAGAAGTCTGCCAAAATATACATTTCTCTGTCCTACTGGATTTTTTTACTCATCCTCCACATTTAACCCATCATTCAGACCAGTATTGCTTTCTACAGCAGGCATTGGATTTTTTTAATTTCCTTGGTGAAACACGTTCTCCACTGTACCTGGGAATGACTGGTCCACTTTTGGCTTGGGGACCTTCTAGAGGCCCCTCAAGAAGTTTCCTGACGGTATCAGGTTGCCTTGTCTATCTGTTGTTGTCCTGCATTCATTGGTCCAATGTCAGCCTTTACCACACCTTCTACATATACCTGAGTGGTGTGAGACAATTTTGTATTCTGTCAATTATGTTTTAAATAAACACTGATTGGTCAGTAGCCAGTCAGGAATTATGGGCAAGACAACCAGACATAGAGGTGAGGCAATGAGTACAGGAGAATTCTGGGAAGGAGGAAGCCCATTCCTGCCCAGTCCTGTCCAGACACCAAAGAAGGAAGATGTGACCTACCCTACTGTAAAAGGTACCGAGCCATGTGGATAACATATACTAGAATAATGGGCTGTATTTACATGCAAGGTGGACATCCAAACACTTATCCACACTCTTGTGTGTTGACTGAGGTTTCTGTCCTGCCCAGTTCCCACATACATTACATCCAAAAAAAATCACACAGAGGTCTACATAAATTATAAACTGATTGGCTCATTAGCTCAGGCTTCTTATTAACTCTTATAACTTATTAGCTAAAAAAGACCAGTGAAAGAAACACAGTTTTGCCATGAAGGCAGAGTCACCTCTGCCTGCTCAACTGCCCAACTGAACCAACCAATCCCAGGGCAGGAAACTGACCAATCACTGAACACCCTGAGTCTAAACCCAGAGTCAAAGAAACACACCTTATATTTGAGGCCTGAGCCAGGAAAGAAACATCTTTATCCCTGAACCCAGGACTAAAGACATGTGCCCTGGCTCTGAAACTAGTGTCAAAGAAACACACTTTGTCCCTAGAATCAGAGCCAGTGAAAGGAATATGCCCTGGTCCTAAGATTAGAGTCAAAAAGCTAACAAAGACCAGTGAAAGAAACACAGTTTGGCCATGAAGTCAGAGCCATCTCTGCCCCTGAACTGCTATATTGGCCAATCCCTGGGCAGGGGAAAAATTAACCAATCCCCTTTCTCCCTGGGAAAACTCCGCCCCTAAGAAGCCCTATATAAGCCTCTCCACTGCTTCAGTTGAGAGCTGCCGTTAATCCCTCCCTGGAAGAGGATCAGCATTCCTGAACTCCTCCATCCCAAATGAATCTCTTTCTCAAAAGAGTCTTGGGTGAAAACCTTCATTCACCAGCACGCAGCAGAAGAACCTGGCTGGGAAGTCCTTTAGGGGACTGAGCTGAAATGCCTTGCTGAGACGCTCCACAGGGGGCCTCAGCAAGGCAGAGCAGAGCCGAAGAAACTTGCTAGGATTCTCCTTAAAGGGGGCTGAGCAAGGCCAGCTGAGGAAAAGTAACAACTTTTTGTTGGAGCAGGAGGAGATTGCTACATTTCTGCAGGGGGCTTCCCTTTCGCAGAGTGCTAGCAGAAGAAACATCTTGGGACAGAGAAGAGGCATATAGCTCTGCTAGGACGCTCTAGTAAGGGAGCAGAGCAGAACTCAGCTGTAGCTGCTCTCCAGGAGAGGAGCAGGATTCCTATATCCTGCAGGAAGACCATCCCCCACTGCACCCCAGCTTCAGGTAGGCTGGCTTCCCGATGGTCAGGACACCTTTCCTCCAGTGCTGAGCAGTCCCATTGCAGCTCCGGCCTACAGAGCTGTACTATTTTGGCTTTACCCCTGCCCTCCCAGCTGTCTTATTGTGGCTCACCTCTCCCCCGCAGAGCTGTCCTACTGTGGCTCTACCCCTTCAGAGCTGTCCTATTTTGGCTTTACCCCCCCCCTCCGCCAGCTCAAGGCCCTTGAGAGGTTTGGGCTTGGGGATCTCCCATCCCCAAGCCCAAACCCCTCTCCTTCCCTCCATAGCCCCTGGTTGCACCCTCTGATTGTCTGCTTCAGGCTCAACTTTCCCAGAATCTATATAAAGGGGTAGAGTGGGAAAGCTTCTTCTGGGGTCACAGACATTAGGGTTTGTGTCCTATAAATGGTGCAGCATATCAGTGGCAAAAGCAAAGATCAAATGCACAAGAAGTCCCTGGGTGTGCCTACCTGGTCTCATTGGGACTCCATGTCTCCCTGTCCCTCACCTGGGGACTAGGTCTTCTTCCTTTGGAGTGAGGAGGCAGAGAATCAACAGCAACACAGATGACGGATTTGCTTCCTCACCCTTTTCCAGTGCCTTCTCTGCTTCTTGGAGAATATGGCTGCCTGTAGGGACTGGTCCTCGCCAGTCTACCGATGGCAACTCTTCAAAGGTTATTATCTCGTTGTTTTCATAGTCAGTGTTCTGGTTCATGGACGCATGCCAGTGCCTATGCTGTCTTCATTCTCAACTTTCTGGACGGGGGTGCAGCCATGCTGCTGTCATCGTTAGCCTACTGATCGGAGGACCGTCCACGCTGTTGTCATAGTCAGCGTTCTGGTTCGGGGTAGAGACCACAGTGTTGATAGTGTCATGTGACAGCTCCCTGAACGCCTGAGGAAATTCATTCAGGTCTTTAGGTGTGCTGATGCTCTTGGTGACCTCAGCATCATCCTGTGGATCTGGGATGGGGTTGCAGATGTGTCTTCTAGGACACACATACATCATGGGATGACTCGATGACCATGATGGAGCTGCCCATCTACTGGACACGGAGCACATGGAGGGATGGCTGGAGGAGCATGACGTTTTTTCCTTAAAACACTTTCATTTGGGTTTGGGCGTTTTGCCTATATGTATATCTGTGCACCCGTGGGCATGCCTGGTGCCTGAGTTGGCTAGAACAAGACACTAAATTTCTCAGAACTACAGTTACAGATGGTTGTGAGCTACCATGTTGGTACTGGAAATCAATCCTGGGTCCTCTGGGAGAGCAAGTAGTGTTCTAGTGTTCTTAACCACCGAGTCAACTCTCCAGCCACCGCTCTCGACCACTGAGTTCTCTTAACAACTCTTTCTTAGGCATAGGGTATGTTGTATATGTGTGTTTCTCACTATGTTGCTCAGGCTAATCTTAAACATGGGGCTCAAATGACCCTTCTGCCTTAGCCTCATATGCTGGAATGACAGGGACATGAATCATGGCACCTAGCTTGTATTTCAAATCAGGATGGACCATGTGTCCAACTTTCCTCAGAAGTGGTTTGGCCTTTTTTTTTTAAATATTTCTACATGAGTTTTAGGATTGTTCACCTGAATGCCACTAAGATTCTGCTGCCAGTTGTACTGAATCTATATATTCCTATGGGTAATGTGGGCTTTCTGATAAGATTTTTTTGGATTCACAGTGTGTCCTTCCATTTTCTCTTCCTTTGACCAGTGATTTGTTTTTATTTTTGGACTAGACCAGGCTGTACTGGAACTTACTAAGTCCTGCCACCTCTGCCTCCTGAGTGCTGGTTATACCATTAAGTTTGGCTCAAAAAAATTTGGACTTCTAATCAAGAAATTTTTGCTAAAGCATTAAGAATTTATGTTTAAAGAATAAGACACAGCCAAGTGGTTCAGCATATTTCTAGTTCCAGCACTCAGAAGGCATAGGCAGGCTGTTCTGAGTTCAAGGTCAGCCTGGTCTACAGAAGGAGTTCCAAGACAGCCAGAAATACATAAAGAAACTGTGTCTCAATAAGAAAAAAAGAAACAAAACAAAGAAAAAAAGAGAAAAAGGAGTAAAATAATAAGACATGTAAGAGATTCAGAAAACAGTACTAGATTTATTGAAAGACATGTAATTGAAGTATAATTATGTAAACTTAAATGGCACATGATTATGATTATATTAATCTGAATTTAATATTTACATTTTCAGTCCAGAGCATTACATTCATGCAGTGGTAAGAAGCACTGTTTTTTTTTTTTACCTTAAATGTTCATCCTATTGAGAAATACAAGAGCACTCAGCTAAAGTTGTTACCTACTGTTTGAATATATGAAACCCTAACAGTTTAAGAAAGCCAAAGCCTAGGAAATTTAAAACTTATTTGTGATATATAAAACATATATATATATATTAACATGTATGTATTAGTATTATATGTGTGTATATTATATAGTAGTTATATCTGGCTTTTGCCTGTCTTTGAAAGTTTCCAACATTCTGAACTGTGGCATCTCTCTAGGAGTCTGCTGATGTGTCAAGGAGCTTCTTCTGCTCCTCTGGGATGTCATTCATGGCATCTTCAGACATCTGATCTGCAGAGAGTGTGTCCTGTGAGAAACTGAATCTTCTAACTCTGGATATTGGCCAGGATCATCAAGAGGTCTCTGCTCTTCTGGGATGTCAATAATGATGTCTTCACACAGCTTTGATACTGTAGCCGCATACTGGGCAGTAATCATGTCCAAAGACCTGATACTGACCCTGGGGTGAGAATGTCTTTGAACCTGAAGAATGCATCACCTGCATCGCGTGGTGATGAGGAAAGCAGACTTTGTGTATTCAGTATGCTCTGGGTCTTCGGGTACAAAGCTTGGCATATTGGTAGTCGCCATGGTAGCAAGGCAGAGATAGGATTCCTGGGGCTCTCTGGTCAGCCAACCATCTGTGAGCCCCAGGACAGCG